GTTTGATTTATTCTGATGAACGTACAAATTCAAAACAAATCTTAAGCATTGATCACATCAGATAAATTGAATTTATATAATACTAGCTGATCCAGTGCACTTTGTTTCCCGTTAAATGTACCAACTCTTTATGGCTCAAACTTTGTTAAATTCGTTATTAATATTCGGTGTATGGTGTTCAAAACTTATCTTAACTTTTCCGTGGCCCGGAATAAAAATTCTAATTCGCAGCTGTATATTATCAGGTAGGCAATCTACCTGTGGTAGATCGCGGACCCCGTGCTGTTTGTATGGAAGTGTATGATTTAACTCTAGAGTATATCAAAGACCAAAGTTATACCATTTTTATCGTTTTTAATTAATTCCACCTACGATGGATTAATATAATCAATAAATACAAAATCCTAACCCAACTGTACTATAATCTGATGAATAAAAAAAAGCAAATTTAAACCTTTTTAAATTAGCTTATCTTCTTCCTAGAGGTCTAATCTACACACAACTATTCATTTTTATGTATATAAAAAGAAGAATGGCCAAACGACCAATGTTAGTAGCGTCTCCTTCAGTAGCGACGGAGTTACGCAAGTGGATGTACTTGTCTGATCGTAACTTCGACTGATTGAAACGAATGAGACGAATTGAGACGCTCCATTAATATTCAAATCAAAAAATAATAATAATAAATAAATATTATTCTCAACTCTTATAACCCATAGCAACCATTAATAAACAAAAATTTCTATCGTAAATCTCAAAATCCTGTTTCAGCACCTACCGTGGGTGATCAATTCCCTTTTTAAATTAGAATATGACACTCACAAAGAACGTGGCTTTTTATTGGTGAAAGTATTTTCGAAATCGGTTCAGTAGTTCCAGAGATTACTTTCAACAACGGTAACTAACGACTCCTCTTTATATAATAGTATAGATATAGATTATTATAAATTATAATAATTTACTTCCATTTCATTACAATGTACACTGTGATAGAAGATCAATGTAGATTATAAATTATAAATTTAGGGGAAAAAGTTAATTTGATGTATCCAATGCTTATATTATAGTACCTATATATAGATTTACATATACTTATAATATTTAATATATTATTATCTTATGTTTAAACTTTGTGTCATAAATCGTATTTATCACATTTATTATTTAACGCCTATTTTTAAAATTTATTTGAAACCATTTACTCATTGAAGATCAAATTTTACTTTTCCATTATTTATTTTCAAAGTCGTAGCTTTAAATCGCTGTACGTAACATCGTTTGAAAAAGTCAGGGAAAGTTGATCGGTAGTAATGACGGTCATATACCAAATACAAAGTATTTTCCTTTAAAATGTTGTTCACATAATATCTATTGTTGTTTTGTAATATGTATCGATCTTATGTAGACACAGACATCGGAGAACAGGACACCAACATATAATAATTATAAACGTAATCTATAGAAAATTGACATTCACGTGGTTGGTACGTAAAATACGCGTATTTTAAGTTTTCAATTTTTTAACAGAGAAATACATAGGATCTCAACTACAGAGGTTCCTCTTCCACGTGATACATAACCGGACTTCGTAAGGTCGACGAATCACAAGGCAGCGAGAACACGCGAGTCCCAGGGATCTGGACTTAGAGGCTGCAGGTTTTGGACTTGGCGCCAACCATTTTGGTGCTATATGTGTGTGTATTGTTTGTCGAAATCGGCATCACACACTGCAAAATGTAACTGCGGTGGTAGCGTGACCTTTTTTTTCCTACAAAGAGACTTTTTAAATAAGTATACCCATCGCCCGTCAATTATTGTTACCATGGTGTTAATGTAGATGGCTAACCAACCCCACATCAACCCCACCACCGAACGAAGTTCATAAAAGTGCATAAATTATTCGTATAATTATAAATGAGTCTTTCATAGTTTCATCAACATACCCGCCCCACTTTTACTTGAAGCTGTCGCTTCAGAAAATAGCTTTTCATGACGCCTCCGCTGACTGTTAGCTTAATATTGTACACTTTCTATGCACACATCAATAATATATTAAGCGATCAATGATCATGCCATACATAGTCCGCGATAATTTAACGGCCACATTTCCCATCGTTTCTAATGCGATCAGCAGCCGGAACTGTGAACCACTCTAAGGCCTAATAAATAAACGAATGCTGAAAATTCGCGTGTAATCAAATAATCGAATGCGGAATTTGTTGATAACCACTATAATATTATTATGTACCTAAGCCAAACGAAATATTATATTATTGTACGACGAAAAACTGAGGTAAAATACAAAATAAAATATGACAGGTTTGATCAGTATATTTTAGTGATTACTTGCAAGGTACGGATAAATATATATCGGGACTGTTCCCAAAAACCTTATGGTGTATTAACAACGCATCGCGAACGATAATATCCAACCGTCTTGTAATAATAATATTATTCATAAATCGTTGTTTGTGCAATAAACGGTTTTCACGAAACAAATTTACCGCCGAATCATTGTAACAACTATAAATATGAATAATATGTTACATGACACCGAAGCATAGCAATAGCAGCTGCTGACCGATACAATAATATTTATTAAGTTACGAATTTAAATTTGTGGACTGTATGGAATTTTATTACTATAAGAATAAAATATACTCGGTTTATTTTGTAGTAAAATATTTTTATTTACGAGGCGATACTGACACTATACACCTCTTATACTATTATATTATTACATACTGCTCACTTTTGGGATCGATAATAGGACAAACTCCGGTTTTCAAATTATTGGAGATAAAAATATATACGAGTCAACAATATTAATGGCCAACGCACTGCACCAGGTATAAGAATCAAGTTAGTTCGCTGTGCACCTTAGACCTCAATACACTACAAATACCGTAGGTACTCCGTACGACTAAGAAGCAGCCACATAGTACGATAGAACGTAATATTTATAAAATTATAATATATTTGTGAGTATATTTGTAAGTGCTTAGTAGACAATAAGACCTAATTATAATTGAAATAGACTCCTAGTTATTTAAATATACTTAAGATTCTGATATTATACGTCTTTGTATAATATTTAACTGGTCTCCCTGCCACTGTCATATTATTATAGTCGATCTGCCACTGAACAGAGTTTTGAGGAAATATTTTATAGTATAATATTCTACGACGGACTGGTAAAAGCGGCCTTAAATAGCGGCGGAAACGTCAGTCGCTCGGTGCAACATACCTACATCGCAGTCGATCCATTTCGTGCAACCGCGCAACACTCCGTACAAGTTGCAGCAGAAGCAGAGGGGCGTCATGTCAAGGGGGGCTGTGGAGGGTGCAGGAGCAGGACAAATGCATTCGCGTCTGCAGCTTTCTTCCGGAACTGCCGAGTGAATTATTATTATTACAACCTAGTCGAATGCACTTCCGCGAATTAACTCGGAAAGAGCGGTGTAACAATGACACCCGTGGCGGAGTCGTGGGTGCAGGGTGGAACGGCGCCATGGGTTTTTCGACGTACCTACTATATATTATTATTATTATTATTCGTGCACCACTGCGGCGGCGCCATTTTTCGATGGCAACATACACACACACACATACACACTTACACGCACACGTAATTATAATTATAATCGCAATAATAATGTGTGGAGCTTGGAAATTATGCGCATTCCGTCTTAAAGTGGCGGAAGTGAAAACGGGTCGTCGGCAAGGGTCGGTCGCTAACCGTCGATCGTTGGGCATAAATTTTATGCGATTGTTCCGGTAATGTGAATTAACGAGCGTGGTTGCGGTTGTTAATTACACGGAGTTTTCCGTCGCAAATTAACCACGCCCCTGCTCGCGCGGCCGCCACTCATCGTCCCCGCCACCACCGATGCCACAGTCGTTCGATCGTAATTAATAACAACCGACGTTGTCGTCGTCGCGAGTTCGGCCCATTTACCGTCGAAAAGACCAAAGTCACGACGGCGTATAAAACGCGGTCAGAAATATTTCAGACGAGTCGCAAGCGCGCTCGAAACCGAACACTAGCCGCGTTTATATTATATGTATATATAACAGCAGCGTTTCGAGAGCAAATATGGGAATATGTTGTTTACATTGATACAAAAAAAATTACACATACAAACCAAAATTATAATGGTATACCTACTTTGGAAAGGAATTCGTAGACTAAAAATACGACTGATACGTCGTGAAATAATAATAACGATTTCGAGGACCGCGGCAGTCACCGCCGTCATTTATTATTATCATGTATTACCCACTCGATTATACGCAGTTGTAGAATTATGTGATTAATTAAAAAAAAAACTTATATAATACCTATATACCGTGTGTCCGCAAAAACAGGGTACACAAAAAAAATTGTTGCGCATGAGCAAAATACAAGAGTTTAACAATATTGTAAGTTATAGAAATGACGTATGATCCAACAGTTCATAGTCTATCCTTATAAGTTATAATAATTTTATGTCCCTCAAACAGAATTCAAAAATTATATGTATAAGTTACTGAGTAATAATATTTCATGAACTATACTCTATTCAGGGCAAGAATGCCAAATTCGAGGATAAATATCGGCAACTGATCCACCAGCACTTAAGATCAGCAAATACTATATAGTTCAAAACTAGTACCATAACCATGAGATAAAGTTAAGAGCCAGTGGCTCAGTAATTAGTATTCATGCACGAATTTGGTCATTCTTATCCTGAACAGAGTATAAGTTTTTTTGAATGTACCCTATTATTAAGGACACGCGGTATATAGTACACACGTCGCACATGGTCTGAAGAACTGTAGGTCGACGTTTTCAAGCGAACAGGCCGAGATCTTCTAGTGCTTGCCTTTGACCCGTTTAGTCGACCACCCCTTCGCCGGCAATGTCATAATATTATCGATGCAAACGGTTCAACGACAGCGAATCGATCAGCGTAACGATATTTATTGCGCTCGTTGGAGGTGGGTTACGGCAGCAGTAGCTACAGTTGTGATAGCGTCGCGGGGTGGCGATTTTCCCCGCCCGCCAACTGTTGCATATCATCATTCCGGGAGGGTAAACCGCGGCGGTCGAGGACTAGGAGCCCCGCGGCCGGTAGGAAAAAACCACTTGTTCGAGTAGATTTCCTTCTGACAAACCCGACCGCTCGTTTGTGCCGTCCCTCCGGTGCTCCGGCGGCACTGCAATTAATCACCGGAAAGTCCACCGCGCTAGATAACGCACTATACACGGACCCAGCACACCTCACCCCCATCGTCGCCGATAACGATGCTATATATAGAGCGTGTACCTATATTATACCGCGGTCACCCGAGTCTGTCCGTCCGTCGTCACGTTGACATCAAAAGCGATTCATCATCATCCGTCTCGATGTGGATCCGCGTATCGAGATAACGGATCGCTTGCTCGTATCGGCCAGTGGAAAATAATTAAAACGATTATACAGTCACGCACGTGCGTCCTTGTGACCTGTGGTACTGATGTTTAAAACATAACAAGGTAATAAACCTAGTATTTGCATTTTTTTTTAATTGTATTTAGTAAGTACCTATCATTTTCATGTTTGATACGTCTGATGATAACATCAAAAAGATTATTAAAATACATAAATTTAATTTTGTTTTTTGGAAATGTTTCACTTAACAACAGAAGATAAAAATAGGTGTGAGTTAAATAAGATATGCTTGTCTATAATTTGAAACCATTTATGGGTTATGACGTAATCGTGTCACCAGAATGGATTTTTTTTATGACGTAATTGTTAAAGTTTCATAACTTTAATATCCACCATCACAAAACTATATCGAGTTATAAAAGTATAAAAAATATAATATGTCACATTCTATGGTTTAGTATTTTTTTTTTTATATATTTAACACAATCGGCAATAACAATATCCTCGTAGACTTCACGGGACATGAACCCAGTTTCATAAAGGTGATCTGTCATACCAACAGAGTTTCTTAATTAAGGATTCAAAAATTAATAAGTCCAGGCATAGTTGGATCCATGTTTTAAATCGAACAGTATTTGTCAGACAATGTTTTTTGATAATTTTTTTTTTTACTTTTTACATAATATTATTTATATTTTATAAATTTTAATAATTACATTATTGATTCAATGAATTATCTAAATATAAAATATAAATATTTATGATTTATCAGACTGTCCATGTGTTTGATCTTAAAATGTGTAATTATTTAATATGTTTTGTACCAAAATGTTAATTTTATGTAATTTTGAGCAATAATGCATTTAGTTAAATACAAATTTGGCAGTATTTATGTGTCTACAATACACAAAATTGTATACTTAACATAGGTTTTTTCATAAAATTATCCGTGATTTTCAACTGAACTTTAAGAATTATGTATACAGGATGATTTATTGTTCACGATCGTCCTCATTTTCTTTTTAGATAATGCAGTTATTCAAAATTTGATCCATGGAATTTTTAAATATATTTTAAGTCCAAATTTTTGAGATTTTTTTGTCAAAGTTAAGGAGTGTCCTACGGAGACACAAACTTACCTTACTCCAGAAAGTTGTATTGTCGACGATAATGCGCCATCCCAAACAGGGATTTTTAAATCTGAAGGTGAACAATTTTTTGTCAAGCTTTTACATCCCAACGTGAGAATCCTCTTATCAATGAATGCCGTGCAACCCTATTCCGTGGAGTTCAATGTTTATGTGTAAAAATAATTAAACTCTTAAAACAGTTTGAAAAATGAAAGTGTTAACTATTTAACTATAAAACAACTATGCGTTTTTATTGTAAATTTATAATGATCGAATAAACTTGGAAACTGCATTTGAAGTACTAAACAAACACAATTTGAACTTATATATTAATCGGATGTTATTAATAAAATAATAATGTTATAAATTATGATTGATTACCTATACCAATCAATCATAATTTATACCATTCTTAAGTTCATTCCCAACCAAATATATTTTCGTTGGAAGTATATTTTATTGATAGCATCTAAGATGAGTAGAAACTTTTAGATCAATTTTCTATTAGAAAAAATATATCGAACTATAAAATATAAAAATTATATTTTCTTATGAAACTAACGGTTTTCTTCTTTTTTTTTTTGGTCACACTCCAAAAGTAAAATGAACAACGCAGACGAGTTACATAAATTTATGACACATTTGATATTAAATTGGCTCAAGATCTAATAGATTAAGTTTTATAGTCTTATCTGCATATCAACATTCAACTATAAAGTAATTCAATATTATATGATTTTTATAACAAGAAGATAATGCTGAAATACTCATCACAAAAATGTTCAGTTGTGTTTATACATTTTAAACGAATAATATATTTGGTTTAAATACAAATTGTGATTGTTTAAACGCAATATTATAACTTTTTATATCACATATTATTATAAATATTAAAATATTTCTATTGACAGATGGTTATGGCTATAATAATATTATATTGTTATATGATTAAGATTTTGTTTTTTTTTTCTATTCATACAGTAATTTGATAACAATTTCTTATCAGATATTATTTAATATTATATTTCATTTTATTGACACCTATTCACATCTAACAATTAATAGAAACCATATAAGACAGTTATGTCTTAAGGTATTTAAAAAAAATCAAGGGATAACTTTTATCTGATTTCTCGGTGCTCCTGGTTAAATAGTGCATGGTTGGAGATAAGACGATGAAATTACACGCCGCGAGACATTTTATTGGCAAAGTAAATGCGACTCCCAGATAACGGTAGTCGACCAAAGTTCATAAACTTAGTTAATTATACAGGTCGGAGAGAATGAGTACCTAGAGAAATAAAAATAAAATTCAAATTAAATAATCTCAATAGGGGTTGTATGAGAACCCCGCCGGAGTTTAACGAACTTTGACGACAAACAGCACATAATAGTATACACTAAACCTATCGAATTATCATTGATGACATTGTTTTACAGAATACGTCAGGATCTAGTAATTTGAGTACGTTGCACATACATTAAATTCACTATTGATTTCGTCTAAAATAGGTGAAGTTTGTTTAGATTTTTGAATTATGCAATGTATAACACAATGCCCTGACAAATGAAATAACTTTTGTTTTAATCAATATAAATATAATGAATAATACTACATCCAATATTACATATAGCTTATATTTTTGTAAGACCATATAATAGATTATTAGCCTTATTACAAACATTTTTATAATTCAGAATCTACTTCTTAGAATTTTGATTTAGATACATCACAATGTTCAAGATAATTACCCGCTAAATAATTTGCAGTGAAAAATAGACGTTTGCATAGCCACAGAACTCCTTGAGACAGTTTTTAAACAAAAGTAAATCTTAAACGTCTTAGTATCCATACAATGTTCATACTATTTTTTTTTTTTTAGTTGAACTTTTATAAATTTTTTCAAGGCGTTCTGTATTACATCGTAATTTTAAAATAGAAGAATATATGAACTGAGTAATATTAATTCCAACCTAAAATAATTAGTACTAAAACTAACTGTTTAAAGATAAGACACGCATATTAATGTATTTAAAGTTTAAAATTCAAGTAGAACCTAATAAAATTATATAAAACACCGATAAATATAAATTAATAAATTTATTTTCAATAAATAAACACTAGTAATATTTTATAGATGATATCGAATATAGTATTACTAGTAAATTGTTGAATCATTCATGTATCTTAATATATTTTGATAATAATTTAAGTTTATTAATAGTTTTTAATTTTTACTATTTTGAAACTTTTTACTAATTTTTTACTTATTTTGTTTCGAATTTTAAAGTTGTTCTACATATTTTGCGTCACAATGTTTAAATATATCGGTTAAGTTGTAGAATAAAATATAGTAACCATTGTAAACAATATAATTTGTTATCTTTTTTGAAAGTTTCATGCGTAGTTTTTAATAATAATGGTAAAGCTATTTTTTAAATGAGCATTAATTGGTTGTCAAGTGATAAATTATATGTTAATAAAATCTATCAATCTAAATAAATTATGTTGTACAAATATTATATACAGTAGAAGTATCGCTGTTTTTATCTCCAGCTGATTAAGTTGACTAATAAATATCATTCAAATATGCAATATTAATTATAATTAAAATATATATACCACAGACACAATTATCATTTATTGTATATTATTATAGGTACTAGTATTATAATATCGTGTAATTAATAACATTTTTCCTTTTCTTGTTTCATAAAAATATGATATTAGTTGTGTATGTTTTAAATGCTTAATTTTTAGTTACTTCCATGAGGTATTAAAACAATTATTAAAGTTTTAAATTGTATGAATCAGAATCAATGTAGGATATTAAATAATAATAATAGATGGACAAGTTTGTACAAAGACATACGATACATGCTATTTTAAAATAAATTAAAGTACGATTTCAAATGTATTTTCAAATAGATATTATGATCCAAAGGTTTAACTGAAATTGAGATTCTTTCAGCGTTATTTGAATGCACATTCAAGAGTACTTTTATATAGGTACACATTTTATTGATACAGAGAATAAATTATAATTAATTTTATAAGTGTGTTGACTTATTCGTACCTCATATAATTCGTCCGTATAGAATTACTTTGAACACATCAAAAAATAAATAAATAAGAGTAAAACAACTTGAGCTTCGATAAAATTAAAAAAAAATAAGTTATGTAACAGTTTTTCTATATGAATGGGCAAAAAATGAACAATTTGATGGCTCAGTAAAATTTAAAACGACTAAAATTAAACATAATATAGTTATTAATTAACTCAAATAAAAAGTGGTAGTATAATTTAATGATAATTATTATTAATCTTGAGAACAATATTATAATTTCTTAATTTTCATTACTTTAAGTAGTTATTACAGTTAAAAAAATACTTTAAATATTATAATATATTCATATTCGTAATAATAATAATAATAATAATAATACTAAATGCCATACGATTTAAATATTTAACAGTTGATATGTATTGCCAGTGTTATTATTATTTCATAATGTACTTATAACTCTAATGTTTATTTGCAAACTTTTAAAGTTGTAAATAAGTAGAAAAGTTACCTTGTTACAAGTACTTATATATTTTACAACGAACATTACTTATAATTAATTATAATACAGTGCAACCATTATTACGTGCTTAATTTTTGTATAATACATTGACCGTACATATACATCTGATCAACATTATGTCGACTATCGAAGAGTTCGTC